TTCTCAATTATGAAGAGTGGAGAGTTAGGGTTAGGATAAGGGTCATTAATGCGGGCCACCAGTCACGATAACATCAGTAACATGTTAGTATGAAATGAAAGACACTAACCTGTTAAAATTCAGTTAAATTTTGGATCGTTCCCCAGTCTGAGGGGATAAGTGCCATATGTCACAATCTTATGCCCTTTAATCTTTTAGTCGGGGGGGGAGGGGGCAATCCTAAGCATAGTACATTTGCTACTACTCAGACACTTTAAACGAGGGGTAATCAAGCTAAAGTAATAAATCCTGAAAGTCTGATTACTTACCAAGATAATTAAGCAGCGTGATTAAAAAAAGACCTTTGGAAAATCTCATCTGTGGCCAGACTCTGAAAGCATGGATGTAACGGGATATTCAGTTAACAACAAAGGCTTCTTGTCTTGTGTTCAGGACAATTTACGGTGACTGTAAATATGGGAACTGTAACAACCATAAAAGGAACTTTTTGGATTCCAGTAAAGACTTTACAGAAGATCCTAGACCCAGTGGGATAAGACTGTCTAAACAAAGGCATAGTTTCAGCCATTATGGAAGTCTGGAATGGTTTGTGAAAAAAGCCTAAGTCGGGCTAATTTTAGGCTGGTATTTCACAAAGGGTGATTTAGGATTCAGCTGGCTAAAATAGTGCTGTGGCTTTCTCTGAGGACCTGGAGCTGATTGCTTTCCCACAAAGCTTTTGCGTCAGGGCAGAAAATTCAGCTGGCTTTTTAAAAAAGAAAGAGGAAAGCACTCATTTTCCCAGGTCATTGAGACTTTTTGGCTAAAGGGTACCCAAACAGGAACAAAATTTAACATGGCAAAGCTAGGTTTGAAACATCTGGGCAGTGCCGAATTCTTATGAGAAAATTAATGAATACATAAATAAACCTCACTGAGGGTCAGGTGTGCTACAGTACACCTCTTTGTGTAGCACAGCACCTTTGGAACACTTTTAGTACACACAAGTTAATGATTAAAAGCCCACAAGGTCTTTGAATAAAGTCAACCTCCAGATTAAAAACAGATTAACTGAGAACTTTTACGACTCAAATGAAAAAGGAGCGAGGGTTTGAGTTATCAATTAATGGGGAAAAAATTATGATTGAGTAATGCGCCATAATTGTCAGGAAATTACTTATGCTTAAATTTATTCTGACCCTTCACTTTTATGGTCAGCATAGGCTGGGGAAACCGTGTCCTCTACTGGAATTTGACTGTAATTTGGCCTGATGACAAAAGTCTCCTGGTTTACATCAAAACTCATTTCACATTTAGTACATCCTTTGAGACAAAATGGTGGAACAACAGCTTGAAGAAAAGGCGCAACTCGTCACATAAAAAGGGCTTTCCGTGGTTGTTGCATTTAAATTGCTGACAGTAACAAGTTGTAAAATTCAAGCCCTGACAGGGAAATCACTCATTATCTTGGAGACATAAACCTATAGCCCGCTATAGGTTTATGTCATTTCTGTGAGTCGCTGTTACATCCCGCTCTCTGCGGGTTCCCTTGGCAGGTTGCTGACTGTTCCACTTGCACAAAAACACACTCCTCCTGCTAAGAGCAGGTAAGGAAGAAGACAAACTTCCTTTCTCTTGAAATAGACTTCGAGGAAAGCTGTGGTCTTCTCCCAAGCTCCAGGAAAACAGCCACTTCTGAAGCAGTCAGAAATCTTTCAATTGGAGAGCCAACTCGTGTGGTGGATCTTTGCTAGACTCATCATGGAAAAGCCCAGTGCCACCCCTCCCATTCCTGAACTTCTCTTAGGTGTCCACTGGCTGATGTCAGGACAATTAAATTCAGATAAAAATGCCTGCATCACAGTGACGAAATGATGGAGGCCGGGACATGACAGCTTCTTCCAGAGGAAAACAAAAAATATTTCCGGTCCATTTAAGGATTATATGCAATGCCATGAGACTAAAACACAACCTAAAGACCCCTCCTTCCCTCTTAAAAGACATCCTGCTGCCCGCTGCTATGACATGGGAAGGCAACATTTGGGCAAAAGATAGCTGATAGCATAGGCGTGCTAGTCTGGAGATGCCTCCTAGGACAATAACTGTCAGTGTCACATCACTGACTGTGAATGTATGCGCTGTTGAGAGGGGTACTTGGCCCTTAGTTGACTACTCGTCCTGACAACTGGCTCTGTGTAATTGGATGCGGTGGGGGGCCGTAGGGCAATGAGAGGTCTGAACTATTGTGATGCGCTCTAGAGAAAATATGGCCGTAAATTAGATGGCATTTTAAATCCCATCCAGTCACCAACACCAACTTTAGGTTATTTAAATCTTATTATAACTCAAACAGTTGTAGTTGCAGCCACAACCTGTCAATCCCAATAGACCACGACTGATATGTCCATGTATATAGTTTTATTCATCTATTCATTCTATGGATCAAAATTGATTGATCATTATAAGGTTTACATATAATATTTACCACTATTAGGCCCAAAATCGGGGCAGCTTGGCTAATTTGGAACTGCGGTTGAGTTAATATTTGAACAAAAGTAGCAACAAAAGTAGAACAAAAGTATTATATAAAAACCATCAAAAGTGAGCTACTGAACAGCAAAGGGAAAGGGGTAAGCATCATCATAGTCAGTTCTCCCCCTTTGGGATGCCTGAACACTGGCTACAGCCTGGAAATAAACTGATGTGACCCTGAACAACAAATCATGCTACATAGCCAAGAATTGTGAAGAACTGGGGGCTGGGGATGGGGAGTTTTAGGAGATCAACTAAAAACAATGTTAAAAAAAAGTGTTCAACCTGGTTGTGTTGGCCTGTACAGCGTAACAGTCCAGAAATTATGTACAAAGTGTACAAAGCCTAGTGCACTTGCCTCTTTAATGAAAACAGCCTTAAATCAAATATGTGCTGGAGGAGACTTCCTCTATCCTGCTCTTGGCTACTCTGTTTACTTGAATCGCATTCAAACAATCATTTGCCATTCACCCTTGCACCCTTACTTAAACACAAAAGAAGTTAGCACCAAGGTCAGGGCTAATGAAAAAACAGTGTCCTCTCCAACATCCGCTTTGATAAACTCATGAAGCTGTGTTGTACGTTTCCCTCTCCTTGTACAAAGACATTGCCGACCACCCATCAATCTGACTGGTAAACTAAGGCATCAGTCAAAGCCAGTTGTAATAATCTAAGGGGGGAAAAGAATTTAAGAAAAGGCAAAGAAAAAGAAAAATAATTCTGCCACATTTTGTGACGAACAAAAAAAGGGTCCATCCACTAACGACTTGTTGCTTTATTTCTTTTTCTGCTCCGCTACTGAATGCCAAGTAGGATGCATAGAGCTTCAGTGTGTATATCAAATTCAAAATCTACTTTGTACAGTAAAGAGTTCCACAAAGTCTCTGCCTGTTGTTGGCTTTGTCAGATTTTGTTTACTACGCTGCAACGTGGTTGGTGTTCCCCGAACTTTCCCTTTCCAATAATTAGCCCAAATAAGAAATCCAGTGGGACTATGACCACTTCACAATCACATGTCAACATCTGGTTGACATGTGTGCCAACAAGACTTATGAATTATGAGCAGTTGCCCAACAGTTAATGATGTTTTAAAGTTAAAAACTTCCACTTGCCATTTAAAGGGGACAGGAATCTGAAACTTGTTTCCCAACAACAAGCAGCACAGCCAAAGCGTCTATTATGACTGCTATGTGAGTGTAGCACACAGCAGGAACCTGTGCTCACATGCTGCGCGCCAATCACATTCAATACACCTCCAAGCAGACCAAAATCCTAACTGTATCCGATTTCATTCGAATTTGGTCAAATACAGAATGTGTGAAACCACGGGGACTCCACTACAAGTATACTGCTCTTCTGCTCTGTAAATGCGGTGGCCTTAAAATCTCCCACACATGATGATTTACATCTTTGATCTGTGCAGCACATACAGGTCGAATGTTGACCAGCTATGTCAAGCACCTTCAATGAGCTCTCCAGACAAAAAAAAAGGGAAAAAAGAAGAGAAATTCCATTTTCTCTGCTCTTGGGAGCCATGGCAGTACTAATAAGGGAGGAGTGGGAGGGGAGCACCACCACGTATTCACTGACTTTTTCTCTTTTTAGAGTATCCTCACCGTGTTGGAAAATGAACAAACTTGGGTCAGATCCCAAAGCTGACACTGAGCAGACCAAAGCAGCACTGTTCTAACCACCCACACAAGTAGCTCCTTGTAATTTTTGTCTTATCTAGAGACAGTATACCAATTACTGGATTTGGGTGAGTGTTATCTGACATGGGTGTGAAACACTCCTCCTGAATATCACTAAGACTTGAAGAGACAAGATTGTCCCATCATTTATGGAACAGAGTAAGCCAATTTTCTTTACATTATTTTCTATTTTATGCAAGAGATAAGAGCCAAAGTAAAAGTGAGATAAGAGAGGTTGAGTGACCACGCAATCAAGGCCACAGCGCGACACAGGGTACACAGACATGGGACCGTGTACACTGCAGTGAAAGCAACACTGTGTGTACACAAGAGACGACTGGCATCTACATTCCGTTATAAATCCCCTTTTTTCTGGATTCTGGATGCTGAAGATTTTCCTTTTTTTCCGTCTTCCATTCACCAAACTTGGGACTTCCATAGTTTTAAGGCATGAATCAAAAAGATGATAAAGCAGCTGAGACATGTTATTTTCCACAGACACCATAAGACAAGATGCCTCTGCTCACACGTAAAACCACACTCACGCACTTGTAACTTGCTGAGAAGCACACATCATAGCCATTGTCTGTTGTGGAAACAAATCATTAACAGATTACTGCCGGAGACATACTGGTGTACGTTTAACCAACATATGGGTGTAATAGCTCCACTGTACTTGTTGAACTATTGTCAATTTGAATCATGTGATGAATGTAAAGTGGACCTAGCACTTGTCATCAGCTGTTGAAAAAGGAAACCAAAAAAAGAGTTCCTTGAGCTATGCGGTTTCGGACATACCTTTAGAGTTGAACACCTCTTTGAGGTTTAGAAGCACATCAGCGAACTTGCGTACATCACTGACCAGCTGCATGATGTAGTTTGGGTCTGAGGTGGTAGCATTCATGCCGTCAGAGCTGACAGAGCCATTTTTGGTGATCCGCACAGGGCCTCCAGAGCTGGAGCTGGAGACACGGGAGATACCTAAAGAGAGTTTTGTTCCACCAACACTGCCGCTGCCAACACCTCCAGATCCTCCACCACTGCTTTGGCGCAGCATGGCTGCAAGCATGCCTTTTAGATCCTGAGGCCCTTGGGCCTAAATCCTAGTGGCCCTCCTGTCAGGTTTGCTCTCAAACCGAACACCCCACCACAACACGGAGGATGAATCCTGTCAATGAGAGAGGAGACACTTAATCGTTCAATGTATGTCATTACTTTACTGATCCTTTCACAGCTATGACATATCTACAGAAGAAACTCTAATCCGTGAGGAGATCAAAAAGTATTTTCATGATTACTCAAGTTTCCAAAGATATTTAAGAAATGTCCCTTTTTGTTCCCAACGTAACAGTTGGATTCTTCTTGTCTGCAATTGTCTGCAGTTGGATTCTTCTTGTCTGCAATATTGTCACACATAAGATACTGTTCAAAACTATGTAGGAGTTTGTTAAATTACGTAGATAAGGAGCCGAGTGAGTACCAGTGACACATTTATAAAAAGCTGTTCACTTCTGTTGAAACATAAATGTTTCAATATGTCTATATGCGATAGCATACATGGAACCTCCATTAAAACCCATTTGTTTTATCTTTCGTTCTGTTAAAATTCTATACTAAATTTAATACGATGAACATTTCCGCCTATTGGGTATTTAACCACTCGGCTTCCATCAAGTTTGCCAGGCGACATTTTCTGTCAGCTTTCCATGCGGAGAAATCGCAGTCCAGACTATCTGGAATAGTGGCACATCCCTCGTGTACTTCACGTAGCGTAAACTGGTATGTTCAAGGTACAAAAAGTAAAGTCACATCTACAGTGCAAACGCCTGCTCGTCAGTAAACAATGAGACACTAAAGCACGCTTTGTGAAAAGAAAAAAAGGTGTATATCAATTAGAGAAAAGCATACCTACATTCGTTCGAGACTAAAAGTATTCGGTATACACCACGACATAATTTTAGAACACAAATATGATCTTGAACGGACTATATTACACACCTGCTGTTGGGTCCTTAAACCTTGCCCAACGGAGGAAAAAACAGCCCAAAAGCGGTGGAGATTCCGATGTCCAGTGTGGAAAAATATATATTAATCCACAGACTCGACGTTGCTGTCACAGTTTAACTGCAAAACCTTTCACAGTTCAGCTCGGTTCCGCTGTGTCGAGCTGTGTCGTCTTCCCGTGTAATGCAGCCTGAAACTTATTACCAATATGCAAACGTGTGTCCCAGCACACTGAGGACTTTTGTGTCGAGTTTTCCCTTCACAGCAGGTGTCTGACGTTTTAAAGCACAAAGGGAACGATAATATTACGGTGCACTTCCTGTTGCACCTCCCACAATAAATACATGTATTTCTACAGAAACGTGAGACTTGAGACCTTAATATACTGAAGTACACATAAGAAAAAATAAATGAAGATAAAAATAATATTTACTGAGGCTAACCTTTGAACATTGATTGGTTGAACGTTGATAAGACAAAGGATTCAATCACCGACATGATGTCGTTTTCTGTATGGAAAAAAATGTTCTGCAAACTATTGTCAACTTTTATGTTGGAAATCAATTTTATTGCTTCCAGAATTTGGCATTTCTACTTTACAAGACTTTAAAACATCTGTCATCATCAGTAAGTCAATGTTAACAGTCATGTATTTGGTATTTCTCTCGAACAGCAAGCCTAGGATTCATTACAACGATTTTTGTTGCCTTTGCCTGGATGTAGGGCGTTTTCAGGAATAATTTTGTCGTATTTGGACACGGATTGTCTCTCATTGAAAACGTCTGTAGTCATGAGGTGTTTTATTTTGCCTCAATAACTATCAACACTCCTATTCAACGCACTTTATTACAAACACAATCGGTGGGTTAAAAGATTCATGAACACAAGAAACATAAACATAATGCAGCCAAGCAGTTGAACAGACAGAAGATGGATATTAGGTCATAAGCGTCATTAGTATTCTAAAATAAAATACAATTACAAAACGTTTAGGACGACTACTTTTATAAACTCTCTCTCTCACTGTCCGTTTTTAGTAAAAAGCCTTCACATAAAACCAAGTGTGTGAGAGAAATCCTTAAACTAGGGTACAACTGTCACAACTGTGATTTCTGTTGGATTGAAAGAGGCTGCTCTATCCTCTATAACCAACGATTGGTGGCTTCAGGTGAGAGTGCACGTGACTGACATCTGCTGGTAGTCTGATGTACTGAAGCCAATTCACACATACGTACACAGGATCGACTGATACCTAGTAAATGTAATTATTTCCCTTTTGAGAATGTTGATCTTGCATATTTTGTGAGATATGATTCTAATTGCTTTGGTCAAAATGAAAAGCAAATTAATCTTCAGAATATTGGGCATGCCTCGATATAGAGTTTTGTCAAATCTGATGTCAGCATTGCACCAGCTATATATAACTGAATACAATTATTTTACACTACATGTCAACTTTACACAATCCTTACAACCTTACCAACAATTGTGCAAAATACACATTGATTATCAAAATGTGATCCATGTCGCCTGGGTCCAGAGTGTACCCAGCCTCTTGCCAGGTGACATCTGGGAATTGCACAAAAGCATAAACAAGAACATTTGCATTCATTCATTCTGAATCCTGATGTCATTGATGATGCTATGAGCTCTCAAATAAAAGTGGCTGCTCTGGGGGCACTCTCTGCCCTCCTCGGAGCGCTGGAGGGGGGGGCTTCGGCTGGTGGCCCCTTTGCAATATAACTGAGCACAATCAGGGAAACCTGATCATTCCTTCACACACACAAACTCACACAGTCAGATATCCAGACACACGCCTCCTTAAGCTTCTGTACAGTTGCTGCACAATTCTGAGAAACTCACTAATATCCCTGCTACCAGTGTTGATTTTGTTGCTTGTTTGTTCTTTTGTCTTCCCTGTGTCCTTTTGCAGGAGCTTCTATAGGTTCTCCGCCCGGATTGCCCACAAAGTAAAGTGTCCTTTTTACAGACATAGTAGCTGGTTGTATGGTCTTGTTGTCTTTCTTTCTTTTTTTTCCCCTTTCTCTTTCTGTCTAAAGGATCTCTGTCCTTTCCACTGTTAGGGAAATCAATATATGTATAATCACTTTCTTAATTTCTCTCTGGTAACTTTCCACAATTGAAGATTTTAAAGGTTCTTTCCTCCTTTAAGGTCTCAGAGAAGGTCCCCTGATATTTTGTCTAACAATGTCTTGAGGATTGTTTAATACAGGTGCAGGAGGAAGGACAGACATTACATCTCATTTTAGACTCAGAAGGTTTATAAATTGCACCATGATTTGTTTTACTTTAGAGCAGTTTTGTACGTCATGTGAACCACTTGTATGGTCGTGCTGGCTGCTCCCACTTCATGAAGTTTTCCCTTTCCCTTTTTTTCCCTTTTAATAAATTTCTATGTCTCAGATGGACTCAGACTTTTATTTAAAAAAAAATTCCACAACAGCACTGCTCTTCTTTCTTCCCTGTCCCTCTGTCAGGTGCAGCATTATTAGACACATGTAAGTTTGGTAACAAAAACGTATAAATAAAAAGGTTTTGGGTAATCAAGGGGGGCTTCTCACTAACAAAGCCTCCCTTGGCAAAGAAATTTTGTTCAGCACAGCATGGTACTCAGATTTCAGTTTTGCTGCCATAATGCTGAACAGGACAAGGTTAAAAAAATAAAAAAATATTATGATGTAAATATGATATGTTTGGATTTAAATAGTTTGATGTCGCCAGGAAAGGTTAAGTTCGAAATAATATAACTGTAAATATGAGAGGTTCTGATTTTTATATTGTATATAAACATGGATCCATAGTTACTTTTTATTGACAGTGAAATTTATATGTTATTCAATTTTTTATAGCAATGCTTACTTGTGATAATAAAGTAAGCTTTATTCAACTGTATTATGTTGTTTTGATTATTTTTTAGAGTGAAAGTATCTTCCATTGTATTTCTCTCATTTAGTTAACAAATGCAATATGAAAGAAAGTGATGTCAGTTTTTCAATAATTAAATTAGTAAAAAATTATTTCGACAAAAAACAAGGTTTTTGCATACTAAATGATTGTCCTTTCTCTTGCTATTGCTGTATCAAGTGGAAAATATGTAGTAGTTCAGTTTCAGTGGCCCCCTGGTGGCGAAAATCGAAACTAAAGGTCACTTTGTTGATTCCAGCGGTTTTTGCATAAAAAAACTTTTCTAATAATCACTCATCCCACTCATGCCAGGTGCTTAATACATGTATGGTTAAATCTTTAAAGTTGTGAAATGTTTGTTCTATCCTTTACAGACACACGTATCAGCTCTGTGCAAAGTCAAACGTTTTTTCCGTTAAACCTACTTCCGGCACGGGAGCAAAAATGTAAAAGCATGTAAAAATAAAAATGGAAACAACAAAATAAAAGCATACGAGCTGCCATATTGTGACTAAAACACCTTTTTAAAGAGTTCCTTGCAACAGTCTTCATCTTAAACCAAAAAAAGCTCCATCCTGCAAATCTGATGTGATCAGAGGAAATATGTGCTTTTGCCTGTTAAGTCATGGAATGTGATGAAGAACACTTACTAAGTGATTTTACCTAATTTTGATTCACTACTTGAATTAAGGGCACGGTGGTTAGTACCGTCGCCTCTCAGCAAGAAAGTACTGGGTTCGAGTAAAGGTCTCCCAGGACCTTTCTGTGTGGAGTTTGCATGTTCTCCCTGTGTCTGTGAGGGTTCTATCCGGGTTCTCTGGCTTCCTCCCACAGTCCAAAAACCTGCTTGTCAGGTTGATTGGACATTCCCCTTAGGACTGAATGTGAATGTGCGTGGTTGTTTGTCCTTGTATGTGGCCCTGCGATGGACTGTCAAGGGTAAACCCTGCCTCTCGCCCATTGATTACTTGGATAGGCTCTAGTTCTCCCCGCAACCCCATTAGGGAGTAAGGGGTAACGATATTGGATGGATGGGTACTGTGAAGCACTTTATTATCAACGGTAAATTTTTGGATTAATGTTGCAAAGTGTGATATCTTTTGACAGCAAGTGAGTACAGCTGAGATTTTGCCGTAAAGTAATGAAATGTGATGAAGAACACTTAGAAAGTTATTTTAACAAGTTTAAATAACTGCTATGAAGTTAGAGAAAAATCCAGTTTGAAGCATTAATATTTCCAACCACTGTCATTTTGGACTATTGTTGGCAAGTGTGATATCTTTTGACTATAAATCAGTACCAGTGACATTTTGTCTGACAAGGCTGGGAAAGTGTTAAATAACCGTTAAAAAGCGATTCACTAGTTTTGAATCATTACTTTGAAGTAACACAAAAATCCAGTTTTCTCTATTTCTCAGTGATTTTTGGAATTTTGATAGTGTGATATTTCGGACTGCAAATTAGTACCAGTTTAAAAAATGGTGCTAGATATGGCACCTGAACGGACTGTATAAAGGGCTGGTTTGTGGATAAATAGCAAATGGCACAGGTTGTCCGGCCAGAACAAATGTATAACCCCCAATGACGACGCACACACACTCTTTGTAGGGGACACGTCACACTCTGAAGTCTAAACCGTGTGAACCGTGGTTTAGTTCTCAGAGACGCACGGCTTTATACAGAATGTGGACATTGGAGTCTGAAATGTCCGTGATGAAAGAAAGAAGAAGTTGACTCCTGAATTAACAAAACGGTCCAGCGTGGATGCTTCCTCGGGTCACTCTGCACTGACTTGCGCACATAGGTGGATTAATGACCGGGCCTACCGGGCCCAGGCCCAGGGGGCCAGAGGCCCCAAGGGGCCAGGCCAACTTGGCCCCGCGGCCATGATCCATAGAGGGTAAGAGGCC